TTTTTAAGTAAAAGCTTTTAAGGTAAAAAATATTTTTCAACAAAAGCTTTTTATACAAACTTTTTCGAAAAAAGCTTTTTCAATCACAATTTGCTTAAAAATAAATTTCTAAATAAAGCTTTTTACAAAAAAACTTGCAAAAACTCTTATCTACTTCAAAAGAACATTAATTGTTTATTAAAAGCTTTTCTTCGATTTTTCATCAACACTTTTTTTTTTTTGAAAACTTAATCAAAAAAGCTTCTTCAACATTAAATAATGTTTTTTTTTACCTTTTTATAAGAATTTTTTTAACAAACTTTTTAAAGAAAAACATTTTAATCTAAAAGCTTTAAGTTAAAAATTTTTTTAAATTTTCTAGTTTTACCTAAAAAAAGCTTTTTCATATAATATTAATATTCCAAAGCTGCCTTTAAGCTGAAAAAATTTTTTTACAAAAAAAGCTTTCTATAAAAACTTTTTCAATAAAAGCTTTTTCAATCGCAATTTGTCTAAAACGTAATTTCTAAATAAAGCTTTTTACAAAAAAACTCTTTACTATTAACCAACATTAAAAGCATTTAGTAAAAGCTCTTCTTCTATCATCTTTGAAAACTTATTTAAAAAAGCTTCTTCCACATTAAACAATTCTGCAATAAAGTTTTCTTACTTTTTTATAAGAAACTTTTTACCAAACTTTTTGAAAAATAAAATTTTAATTCAAAAACTTTAATCTTAAAAAATATAAAAATCTTTCTATATAAACTTTTTCCAAAAAAGCTTTTTCAATCAGAATTTGTTTAAAAACCCATTTCCAAATAAAAGCTTTATAAAAAATAACTTCCAAAATTGAATTTTCCACCAAAATGCTTTTAAACGGGGAAGAACAAACAATTTTATACAAAAATTAAGCATTTTTTTCCTAAGGCTTTATAATAAAAAGTTTTTTAACACTGAAGCTTACAAGATCTTCTTTTCGAAAGCTTATAGAAAAATAAATACACAATATATTTTTTATCAAAAGCTTATGGAAAAGAAGCTTTTCATACAATAGTTTTTATTTAAAAAGAGTTCTTTCATATGAATTACCTTTTCAAAAATTAACAATTAGCTTCACATTTTTCCAAAATTGTCTGCATGTTTTCCTTATTAAGCTTTTTCTTTAGTAAATGTCATTAATAAATGGTTAACTTGTCATTACTATTATGCATTAAATTTCTTTCAAAGGAAACCTATTACATTAGTTACATCTTCCTTACAATTATTATAAGAATTCGTTACAGTTTACGCTACTAAAAGTACATTTTAAGCAATTTGACAAATTTTTTTTCCCCACAAAAGAACAATTAAGACTCAAAATTAACCTTAAACTTTTGTTTTACATAATTCTGACAAAGTAAAAGAAACAAATTTCAACAACAAATCAATTAAACTGTTGAAATATTTACGTTAATTGCCAATATAGTATAGAAAATTGTGTCTAAGTTGGGATGATAAAACAAAAGACTTAGACAACAAGCTCATTATACATTGGTTGACTAGTTGGTGGATATGTGTGTGAGAATATTTTTCCAAAAGAACCAAACAACTTTTTTTGACAAAACTTTTTTCTTAGTAGAACTAATTAACAACTTCCTAAAAACGATTACATAATTAGCTTTTTAAGAAACACAGAAAAAAAGCAACACAGACAAAACAGAAAGAAAAAACTAACCGACAGATAGAGACAAAAAAATAACACAGTTGACAAAATAGTTAGACTAAGTAAATCAATTAAGCAAATAATTACTACAGAAGAGTAGAAAAAAAAGCAATTGGACAAACCAACTGTTTAACTATTAAACAGGCTTTTCTTAGCTATTAGCAGAGAAAACAGATAGCAAAAGATTTAAGTTTAACCACTTTTTAGGATTAAATGTTTGGCTTGTTTGGTGGGTTTCGTTTTTTTTTTTTTGCCAAGAATTTCTTAATAATCTCCAAAAAACCCCAAAACAAAATATTTAAACTATTTGCTGTTAGTTTAATTAACAATACCTTAAACAAACTAAAGACATTGTTGTGGAAAAGAAACAACTCTTTAAAAAGTAACAAAACTAAACTAAAAAGTAAAGTAACAACAATTTAAAATTGTTTTAACCCTTTTAGCTAAGTATCACTAACCGAAACTTGCTTTATAGATTTTTTTCTAAGAGCAGTTTTATATTTTTTTTTTCTTAATTAAAAGCCATTTCCACATTTTACTACCAAAACACAAACAAATAGCCAATCATTTTATTTCTGTAAAAAAACGCACGTTTTTTATATAAAAAACTATAAATAAAATCAAACTAGTGTTTCAAAAAAAGCTGCTTAAAATTGCTATTAAAACTAAAGCTGCTTACAAATAGTTTGTGTGTAGCAAACCATATTAAAATCTCAAAAAAAAAACTGGCAAATGCAACACCCCTCTACAAATTGCATACTTATTTAAAAAATATCTATTGCATATTGTTAGTTTGGTTTAAATTTTCAGTTAATTCTAACAGGTGTCGGCAAAAACTCTTTAAAAAATTATAATACCGATAAATAATTAGATGCCAGTTAGGTAAATCAATTAAGTTTTTCGATTTATTTTATGCCTTATAATCAAGACTTGAGACTAATCAATAGTCAAGAGTATTGCCTCATCTATAGACTTATCTATAATCAGGACTATAGACTGATCTATAGTCAAGACAATAGACTGATCTATAGTCAAGACAATAGACCGATCTATAGACAAAACTATAGACTGATCTATAGTCAAGACTATGGACTGATCTATAGTAAAGACTATAGAATGATCTATAGTCAAGACTATAGAATGATCTATTGTCAAGACTATAGAATGATCAATAGTCAATACTATAGAATGATCTATAGTCAAGACTATACACTGATCTATAGTCAAGACTATACACTGATCTATAGTCAAGACTATAGACTGTTCTATAGTCAAGACTATAGACTGTTCTATAGTCAAGACTATAGACCATAGAGTGTGGATTTATAATCAAGACTGTAGTGTAATCTATGATCAATACAGTCAGTACCTTAGACTGATCCATAGTTAAGACTATAGACTGATCTAAAATTAATACTAAGGACAGATCTACAGTCAAGACAATAGACTGATCTATAGTCCAGACTATAGACTGATCTATAGGCAAGACTATAGACTGATCTATAGTCAAGACTATAGACTGATCTATAGTCAAGACTGTAGACTGATATATAGTCAGGACTATAGACTGATCTATAGTCAAGACTATAGACTGATCTATAGTCAAAAATATAGACTGATCTATAGTCTCGACTATAGAGTGATATATAGTCTCGACTATAGAGTGATATATAGTCAAGACTGTAGACTGATCTATAGACAAGACTATAGACTGATCTATAGACAAGACTATAGACTGATCTATAGACAAGACTATAGACTGATCTATAGTCAAGACTATAGACTGATCTATAGTCAAGACTATAGACTGATCTATAGTCTAGACTGTAGACTGATCTATAGTCAAGACTATGGACTGAACTGTAGTCAAGACTATAGACTGATCTATATTCAATATTATAGACTGATCTATAGTAAATACTATAGACTGATCTACAGTCAAGACTATAAACTGATCTATAGTCAATACTATAGACTGATCTATAGTCAAGATTATAGACGAATCTACGATCACGACTATAGACTGATCTACAGTCAAAACTATAGACTGATCTATAGAGAAGACTATGGACTGAAATATAGTCAAGACTATAGACTGAAATATAGTCAAGCCTATAGACTGAAATATAGTCATGACTATAGACTAATCTATAGTAAAGTTATAGACTGACTGATCTTTAGTCAAGACTATAGACTGATCTATAGTCAAGACTATAAACTGATGTATAGTCAATACTATTGATTGATCTGTAATCAAGACTATAAACTAATCAGGAATTTAGATTGATCTAAATTAAGACTATAGATTGATATATAGTGAAGACTAAAGATTAATCTCTATTCATGACTATTGACTGATCTATAGTCAAGATTTTGAACTGATCTATAGTCAAGATTATAGATTGGTCTATAGTCAAGACTATAGACTGATCTAAAGTCAAAACAATAGATTGTCATGTTCATGGACTGATCTATAGTCAAGACTATAGGCTGATCTACAGTCAAGACTATAGGTATCACATATTTTCTTTCTTTAGATTTTAAAAAATTTGTATATTTTTGGCTTATGTCACCGATTTTCTTAACTTTTACATTTTGTAATCAAACTTAATTTTTAATAGCTGAGCCTTAAATTGTTTCAAGAAAACATATTTCCAAAACAATAAACATTTTGGCATAGGACAGTTAAAAACACAAATTAACTGTTAAGTAATTGTTAAATAATAATTGGCATTAAATTAGCCAATAAAAATATTTGATTATAATTTTTAAAAGAAAATCACTAAAAGCCAATAAATCAAAACAAAAGACTTAAGCAACAAACAGTTTTTCTTAAGATTGAAAACTTGGCAAATATTTTTAATAAAATACCAAAGAAATAATTTAAGAAACTATCTGATATATAGTTAAAATTTATAAATAAATTAATTACACATCAAGAAAAGTTAATAGATTAATATTTCAAATTATAAATTTAAACAATTTCTGATATTTTGCTTTCATTCACCTTCCAGCTTAATTGCAAACCCTGTTATTTTTGCAAAAAAAAAAAGCTCTGGTATTTTGTCACAAAACTTATATTTTAACAAAATCTAGAAAAAATTAAACACACAGACTGATATAAACTGTTTTTAATTAATTTGTGGCGATTGCAAAAAAAAATCTAAAATTTAGTTTTTGTGTTTGCAACATTGCAAACCATTGCAATAGTTTTATACCTCAATTAGACTAACACACACTAGACGAACATGGTTTTTTTCGTTTTCATTTGGCATTTTTTTTTTCTTGTTGGGAGTGCAGCAAGTGAATAAAAACTTACCGTCTTGTTTGCCTTGGTATCGACTGGGTCCAACAAACTGGTGCCTTATGCGTTTGTAGATTACGCGATGACTTATATGTCAAATCACCACATTCAGATTGCCATACTTGTAGATTACCCTCAGCTGGATAGAATGTATATAAACTATTTGTGGATGAGGCAATTACTGGTGATCCACCAGCTGCTGCCACTAAAGCAGCAGCGGCATCACCAACATTGCCCGTATTTAGAACGGTTGTGGCGGGCGGTAGAGCCACAGCACTAGCTGACAATGTAGCACTTGATATTGGCTGCACGAGTAGCGCCTGTGTTGTAGAACCGGGTGTTAGGGAAGAGCAACCGCCATTGACCGAGTTTGTGGGGAATTTATAGTGTTGCATGCGTGTTGTAGTGCTGTTGGGGGCACAGGATGAGGTGCTGGTTGTGCCGGAACCCTCATGTTTTAAAATCAGAGCATTTGAGGGATCATAGTTGTGGGCTGCTAGCAATTGCTGTTGTTGCAGTTGTAATTGTTGGTGTTGTTGTTGTTGCTGCTGATGATGTCTGTGACGGGTGATGGCATCGACCGAGTGCGAACGTATGGCAGAGCCACGAGGCATTAACAGCATATTGCGCGTGCTAGAGGCATTTGCTGCATTCGTCTTAAGTACCGAGGGTGACATGGCTCTAGTTTTGGCCCGTCTAAATCCACCATTATTATTGGCCATATTACTTCCGCCTGGCGTGTAACGATGATTGTGTATAGCTGCCGATGAGGCTACCACTGGTTGTCGTTGCTTTTGATATTGCAAACGTTGTGCAGTTTGTGGTGAGCCCATGCCTTGTTGAGTGCTGGCAGCCGTTAAGCCTCCAGCATTCGCCGCCGCCGATGACGATAATGATGATGACGATGATGAGGATGACGAGGCGGCAGCCGCTGCTGCAGATGAGGAAGAAGACGAGGAAGAAATACGTGCCATATTTTGCATATTCATTTGTGGGTTAAACTTGTTGTCACTGGAACCTCTACGATCTTTATAATATTTATCTAGTAATTGTTGTTGCAACAATTGCTGTTGATGTAGCTGCATGGCTGCTGCATTGGGTGGACGACGTATGATTTGTGGTGCTCCCAAGGCAGCCAATCTGTTTTTGGATAAATCCATTGTTTTATTTGCATTATGTCCCGCAGTTAAAAGTGATGAAGATGTATTAGACAACGATGATGATGATGACAAATCAGCATTGGCTGACAAGCCACCAGTAGCGGCCGATGACAATTGTGCCAGAGTAGAACCAACATTATTATTATGTTGATGCTGCTGTTGGTGTTGGTATTGTTGTTGTTGTTGTTTACTAACACTACAACTATTGCTATTATTATTACTACTAGTACTGCAAGTATTGTTGTTGTTGTTTAGAGCTGTTGTAGCATTGTTTTGATTCGTTCCACTTGTTGGATGCTCTGAATCCGTTGAAACACGATCCGGATCACTTTCAAAACCTTCATCAAGGGATCGTGTGGGGCTTAAGATAGGTTTCGAATGTTGTTCCAGTTTTGTTTGCTGTTGTTGCTGTTGCTGCTGCATGGACGTCATTATTACATCGATTTGTCGCTGTTGTTGTTGCTGTTGCTGCTGCAATTGTTTTTGCTGTTGTGTTGACATATTTGTAACAAAAATCTAGTATTTTATCAGAAATTTTATTCTTTTCTTCAGATCAAATTTCTGTCTTTATTTTAAAACTCTGTTTTGTTGTTATAAAATTTACACTTGGCTGCTTGTTTACCAGCTAACGTCAAAGAAAAACACTTGATTTTATTAAAAAATTTTTCTTAAATCTTCTTTCTTGCTTTTTTATTTATTATTAAAAAGGCGTAAAACCGGCAGTTTTATTTAAAACTTTTATTACAATTTTCTTTCTTACACTTTTTGTTATAAATCACTTTTGCTTCAATTGAAGTTTTATCTTGCAGCTATTTTTAACAAACAGATTTATTAATGCTTCACAAACTGTTGCAAGTAATATTAGATTTTACACTTCTTTTTTTTTGTATTTTTTAAATATTTTGCTTTGTTATAAAAATTTGTTTTCTTTTAGAAATTTTTTTCTATTATTAATTTTTTTTCATATAAAATATTCTTTTATTTTTTTTTAATAATTTTTTTCTTTTTTTTATAAATTCACCAGTCACTTATTATCATTTTTTTTTCTTTGCTAGTAACTTTCATTGTTAAATTTAAAATCTTCAGAAATTAATTTGTTATATATTTCTTTTTTTATGTTTATTTTTTTCAAATTTATTTTGTTCGTTTTTTAACGCATTTATATTTTTGAAATTTTCAGTTGTTTTGTATATGTGTGTATTTGTGTGTGTTTTTTTTTTTCAAAATTTATTCCGTTGCTCACGTCTTTAGCGCACGAAAGTCGTTTTCATACTAAATATTTTCTTTCGGCTTAAACTCTAAAAAGTTTATTGTGTGCTTCTTCATCTGCTTTTTTTACGTTTAGTGGGTTTGCGGTCCAGCTAACTGACACTTGTTTCAACAAGCAGTGTTGCTTTAGAGGGGGTGAAATGGGTAATTGTGGTGTTATTAAAAAGTACTTTAAGTACTTTTACATAAAATATTTAAAATATAAACGATTTTCTAGTAATAATTGAAATATCTTTACGTTTAAATACAAAGTGTACCATCAGGACCGATTTTATTATTCAATCTTAGGTACTAAATAGTACTAATAGTTCAAAATTTAAATACCTTTTTGTTCCTTTGAATAAACTATAAAACTATGTAGTCATTAAAATTTTTTCAAAATTCAGTAATTCATTTCGCAAATAAGTATTCGAAGTCACATATCTTTTAATTAATTTAAAAACTCTCAATGTTGGTAACCTTACTTTTTAGTACCATTTATTTTTATTCCCTTTTTTTCTTAAACTTCCACTCCAATAATGTGCACATGTAAAATTGTTTTTATCTTTCTTTTATTGCGTTGCTTTTGTCTTCTTTTTTGTTGATTTTTTTTATTATGTTTTTCTTATTACTGCACCTGATCAAAGAGCATGATGAAAGTGAGTTTAAAATAAGCAATTGAGAATTTGTCTGTTAAGTTGAGTAAACGAATTACAATGTTAAATTGAATTGTGTTACACTTAAAGGAATATTATGGTTGATTATAAATATAAGTATACTTTAACTTGCGTAGCTTACTGAAAAAGTTTGTTGTCTAAGTCTTTGGTTTTACATATAGCTTTTTCTGTATTCTGTATACATTTCCCTACTATAGCAGGAAGAAATTTAACATTTGTTTGTAGCAATCAAATTGATAGTAACCAAATCGATTTTATATTGAAATTTAACCTCCTTCTAATTCCATTTGAGTGTGTGTGTGTGTCTTTGCTATTGTAACTCTCTAGTTTTGAATATATTGAGACTACAGTCTTGACTATAGTGAGGTTATAGTATGGTAAAAGTGAGGCTATGGTCAGATTTTGCTCTTGACTATAATGAGACTAAAGTCCTTATTGTACTGTGACTACAGTGAGACTATAGTCCCGACTTCAGTGAGACTGTATTACCGACTGCAGTGAGAATATATTCCCGACTACAGTGAGACTTTAGTCCCGACTATAGTGAGACTATAGTCCTGACAATAGTGGTACTATAGCCCTGACTATCGTGGAACTATAGCCCTGACTATCGAGGGACTATAGTACTGACTACAGTGAGACTATAGTCCTAACTATAGTGAGACTATAGTCTTGACTATACTGAGACTATAGTCCTGTCTATAGTAAGATTATAATCCTGACTGTAGTGAAACTATAGTCCTGACTGTAGTGAAACTATAGTCTTGACTATAGTGAGACTATAGTCCTGACTGTAGTCAAACTATAGTAACACTATAGTCCTAACTATTGTCCTGACTATAGGGAGACTATAGTCCTGACTATAGTGAGACTATACTTCTGACAATAGTGAAACTGTAGTCCTGACTATAGTAAGACTCTAGTTCTGACTATAGTGAGATTATAGTCCTGACAATTGTGAGACTATAATCGTGACTATAGTTCTAACAATAGTGAAACTATATAGTGCTAAAGTCTGACTATAGTGAGACTATATTTCTGATTATTCTGAGACTATAATCATGGCTATAGTAGGACTATAGTCCTGACTGTAGTAAGACTATAGTTCTGACTGTAGTAAGACTAGAGTCCTGACTATAGTAAGACTATAGTCCTGACCATAGTGAGCCTTTAGTCATGACAATAGTGAGACCATAGTTCTCACTATAGTGATACTATAGTCCTGAGTATAGTGAAACTATAGTCTTTTTTAGTGAAACTATAAATTTGACTAGAGTGAGTCTAGAATCTAGACCATGATGAGGCTAGTCTAAATGATAGTGTGACTACAATATTAACTGCAGTGGAATTACAGTATAAGACTATAGCATGGGCTATAGTGTAATTCTATAAGAGACTATTGGGAAGATATTGGGAATTTAGTACCGACTATAGTTGGACCACAGTCTTGACAATAGGCTGGACTACAGTTATTCCATAGTCTAGACTATAGTCTGGACTGTAATGAGAATATAATCTGGACTATAGTGGAACTATATTCTTAACTATATTGAAACTATAGTCTGGACTGTAGTGAGAATGTAATCTTGACTATAGTGGAATTATATTCTTAACTATATTGAATGTATAGTCTTGACTATAGTGAGACTATAGTCCTTACAATAGTTAGACTATAGTCCTTACAATAGTGAGATTATAATCCTGACTATAGTGAGATTAAAGTCCTGACTATAGTGAGACTATGGTCCTTACAATAGTGGGACTATAGTCCTAACAATAGTGAGATTATAGTTCTGAATATAGTGGGATTACAGTCCTGACTATAGTGAGACTATAGTCTTGACTGTACTGAGACTATAGTCCTTACAATAGTGAGATTAAAGTTAATGAGACTTAGTCCTGACAATAGTGAGACAATAGTCCTGACTATAGTGAAGTACACTATAAATGACTATGGTCTTGACTATCTTAAGACTATAGTCTTGACTATATTGGGGATTTGGTATAGCCTATAGTTAGACCACAATCTTGTCTATAGTCTGGACTATAGTTATTCCATTGTCTAGACTATAGTCTGGACTATAGTGAGAATATAATATATAATGGAACTACAGTCATGATTATATTGAAACTGTATTCTATATTGAACTATATTCGACTATATTCTTAACTATAGCTTGTAAAACTATTATCTTGATTATATTATTACTATAATTTTCACTATAGTAAGGGCATATTTTCAAAGTGTACCAACTTTTTACCACCGCAACTTCTGTTAACAACAGAATCAAGCAAAAAAATATCTACATAATGTAACTCTCCAACTATATAACAATTGCTCTCAGAGATATAACACAAATATTGTATCTCATGAGTTAATTTATCAATGAATGTGTATAACTCGTACTCGTATTGTTTTTAAATTTTTCTACAACATAGTTTTTATGCTCCAAGACACCTGTTTGTGGAGGCACAACATACGAGAATGCGAATATAACTGCAAAAGAAACGCTTACTCATGATAATGTTATTGTTGGCCTGATACCGTATATGTTGTAGATATATATATATATATATATATTTTTTTTTTTTTTGGTTTGAAATTTTGTTTTTTCTTTTACGTTTGGTTTTTTCTTTCATCTTTTATTCAATTGCTGTTGTAGTTGATGTTGCTTTTGCTGCTGTTGTATGTTCGTACATACAAGTAACTTTAACTTAACTTTGGTTTTGGGGATACTTTCATTGATTTTTCCAGCCAGTTACATTACAACATATTACCTAGTAGTTCGTGTGTGTGTGTAGCTCAAAGATATGGCAAAAATTAAACCAGAGATCATGATGATGATGACGATCAAGACGATGAGGGAAAAAATTTATAACGGTGTTGATGTTGAAGCAAAAACTTTAGTATGAAAAAAAAAATGAACAATGTATAAAAACACAACAACAAAAATAAAAGATGTAAAAAAGAAAGAAAGACATACAAGAATGACGATGATGATAATGATGATGATGACTATGACGATGATTATGGGAAGAGAGAGTGGTTGGCTAGTTAGTTAGTGGAATTAGTATGGAGCTGTTTTGGTATTATGTGGTGTGGCATGGTGGCCGTCAGGGTATTTGTGTGTTTATGTGAGGATAAATTTAGCAGCAGGCTGATTTTGTATTTTTTTTTTCAACTTGTTGCAAGTGCAGCGGAACTGGCTGTTTTATATGCAACTTTTATATGCACACAATTTAATGTTGTTGTTATTGTTTTGATTGTGATTTTATGTTTTTTTTTTTATTTATAATTTTTATTTAGTTTTCTTTCTTTCAACTGCAGCATAGAGTGGCGCTTTAAACTACTCTCCATCTTGATGTTAATGCTGTTGTAGATGTTGTTGCTGTTGCTCTTAATGTTATTGTTGTTGTTAGTGAGATGTTGCTACTTATGGTTATTTTAGCGGCATTTGGCATATAGTCTTATTATTGTTTTTGCTGCTAGAAAGAAAATGAAAAGACAATAACAAAAAACAAAAGGAAAATATTATACATAAACATACTATAAAATGTTGATAATTTTGATATTAAAAAAAAACTTGCATTTTGCTCTTACTACTATGAGTTCGATCGGTCTTTAATGCCCTTTCTATGAGTACTGCACTGGTGATTGATTTCCGGGTAAAATGTCTGAGGCGTTTATCTTTCTTTTGTTTTCATAAAGTAAGTGCTGCTTTTTTTTAAAACTTGTACTTGTAAGTATGGTTATAGTTAGTTTTTATCGTTATTGTTATAACTTCTCTTTTTATTTTATGTTTTTTCTTTAATTTTTTTACTTATTTTGGCATAAACATTATTGAAAAGAAAAAGTGGTCGGTCGTCGATTATCAATGGCAAACACAATAAGATGTGAAAGATTTTTGATGAGAAATTACTTTGCACATTCCCATCGTAACGAATGTGGTAACTGAAATGTTGTCCTGCCACAAGCAGTGGTGTGGAGTATTACTTTTGGGAAATCAATGGTGAAATGTTTAAGTTTATTATAATTTTATTTTAAATTAAATTAAGGTTGTTTTATGGACAACAATTTGGTGATTTTAGTAAATTTACATAAGTTACGAAAAATGTTAGAGACTTCAGTTCTAGTTCAGTTCTGTTCAAGTTCTGTCTTAGTACAGCTCTAGTTCCGTTGTAGTTCAGTTCTAGTTCTGTTCTAGTTCAGTTCTAGTTCAGTTCTAGTTCAGTTCTAGTTCAGTTCTAGTTCAGTTCTAGTTCAGTTTTAGTTCAGTTCTAGTTCAGTTCTAGTTCAGTTCTAGTTCAGTTCTAATTCAGTTCTAGTTCAGTTCTAGTTCAGTTCTAGTTCAG